GATAAAATTCAAATTTTTCTTAGCGGATATTGTAAATTTATTTATTTCGATTTAATTATATGAATATTTCAACAATAAATGTTTATAAAATTAAATATTAATATAAAATTACCTATGTATTATTAGCATCAATCAACATCAACATCAGTCACAGCTTRCCAAGGATAAATGGAGACAAACTGTGCCCTGTTTAGGTTTATGACTTTTAGGGGTGAAACCCCCTTGATCTGTGCCACTTACGGCGTTTATGAATTGTTGCATTGATCAAGTACATTTTCATCAAATTAATACCTTGGTTTCCACTACCTGTGCTAATATTTACGAACACATCAGTGGCGTACGCTTTACGTCGAAAATAACTTTAATAAATTTTATTTGAAGAACGGTTAAACAAAGAATTTTTTKAATATTTTTTCCAGCATGTTCTCATTTGATACTACCAAGGATAAAATTTTATCGGTCTATTTCAGAATCACCCTATATACATGTAATATACCTGTTTCGTTATTAAATTGTTTTCTTTACATTAAGTCAACTTTTTCTTATAAAACCCCTGGCATCAGTTATTTAAGCCATTATTTTTACCTACATAAATATATAGGAAAATTTAATAAACAAAATGTTTCACAAAAATCAATTTAAATTTTAAGTTTATACTTCCAGTTATTTTTTCCAAAAAAAATGATTTTCTTGGTATATAATGGTACAAAATATTCTGTAAATTGTGTAATTTGTAATTTCTAATATAAAGTAGTCTCATTAAAAGCGCTTTGTTCAGCAAAAAAAAAAACAACCAACTGAACCCATTGCATCTAATTTTTTGAGGAGACCGCATGCGTCACCTACGCCCCTTTTGTAACCGCGAAAAAGAAATGGTCCAATCAGAAGTGAACAGTGAAACGCAAGTTAGTGTAATCTGTGGTGATTAGGTTGGTTGTCTGAATGTTTACAAGGGCACTTGACCACAGATTATACAGATAAGACAGCTTTTTGGCGCCAAAATAGATAAACTGTTTTTTCACTGTACTTTTTGCTAAGAGTCACAAAAAATCATAGCAGTTGTGTTCTACGTATTGCTACAAACGTATTACAACAAATAGTTTCCATTTAAATATTGTGAATTTTATGAAAAACTGAAATATAAGATTGTCCATTTGTGAGTATCAGATTTACCCCTTCCATGCCTCCAAAATGACCGTTGAGCGGGCCGTTTTGAGGTTAGCAGCGTTGAAAATACCAACATGGATACCAACCAACACTAATAAAGTAACTAAGTTATTTGCCAGTTTACATTTTGATGTGACAAGTTTTTGAGGTTATGATGGTAGATGCATATGGATATGGTTTGCAGGGTGGAAAGTTTGTGTTATTTTGGAAGTTGGAATAAAGTGATGCAAAATGAAAACATTAATAACGTAAATTTTGTTGTTTGCTTTACGAAAGATTATTTTCAATACGTAAAGTACATTTGAATTTGGCGGTATCCGAAGACCGTTGAGAGGGCCAGGCGGACAAGTGGGGGTAACATCCATTTCGCGATTTTGCCGTACCTGTCATATCTGTATAATCTGTGACTTGACCGGCTTATGTTAGCGTGTTTAAATTGTTAAAATTTAAAGTATGCAACCAATATTACACATTTATTGCAGCAGTTGCATTTAAAACAAGTCGTTTGAGTCGTCTAGTGCCTTTGGAAAACCGGTGATAGTTACTTCAGCTCGGAAAATGCGAAAGTATTCGGGTTCGTCAGAACAACACCCAGTGAAATTTTTGGAAAACTCATCTCGAACTGCCGGTACTTGATAGGGAACAAATAAAGCAAGAAGTTCACCAGTGTCTGAGTAAGATGTCCTTAAAACGTGCTCGCCAACAAAGAATACTTCGCAATCCTTTGGGAATAGGCCAACTGGTGCTTTTAAAGTCTAACCCAATGTCGAATGCTGTCGAAGGCATCTGCAAGAAGTTTCAATTGGTCTATGAGGGTCCTTATCGCATCATTCGAAGTCCAGCAGTAAACACCTATGAAATTTTCGATTTGGAAAACAAGAAAGTTATCGGGACTTATAACATCCAAAATCTAGTGCCATATTTTGTTGAACTGTGGTAGTTATCAAGTGTCTTAACGGAACTGTYAATTGACTGTTAAACTAAGTTGTTTAGTACGAGGAGGGTGTTTGGCTGGATCGAGTAGGTCAAATATCTGACTTGTGCTAAATAATTGAGAAGAACCAAGATTAAGGCGTGCAAGTCTTTCTGATCTCAAAGAAAGATCTTTGTTTCCATCAAGAAGGGGGAGACTGTAACCGTACCATTTGTATTTAATTATTCGGTAAAATGTGTTGCCTATGCATTTTTGAAAATTTTATTTGATTCTGCGGTGACGGATCACGCCACAGTGGGAAAGGGGGGATTTTGTTTTTTTTGGTTTTCGAAAAGTGGGAAAACAAAGGAAGGTGTGGCAGTCGTCGTTAGGCAGGCGAAGAGTGAGGAGAATTTTGTTGTTTTTCCTTTTTGAATTAAATTTTGGAAATTGTTGGGATGTCGACTACACCCGGGGGACTTCCATCGAGGAAGAGAAGGAAGCGTCGTCGCTTGGAGGAGACCGTGGGGCTCAGGAAGATGAGACCGGACGCGACAGGGGGTATGACTAATTACGTCACCAAAAACGTAAATTTCTGTATCGATATTACGTGAAAATTGTGCCTAAAATATTGTTTTCATCATAATAATCATGATTGTTGTTAATTTGCCATGAGTTTTGTAAATGGATAATTCGTCTGGTAAAAGATTAAGTTTTCGGGTTTGTTTTATGTAACGCGAGATGAAAAGTTAAAACTTCTGTAGCTTCTCCTGGTTTCATGCATGCCGCATTGCGTTCTGTCTTTTACTGTTCTTTACTCTCCTTTAATTGGGCAATCATATCAGCAAAGTCCCGGTAGCTGATAAGTAATAACGCTTCCACGTACACAGGGCACAAAAGAGGAGCTTGTCGAAAAAGGACGGTTTTTGCCCACTAAAGAGACCATAGGTCCAATACCATTGTCGACTCGACAGAGTTGTAGGGTTTCGAGACGCGATTGTTTGATTGATTGAGAGTCCTTGATATATGTTTTTCTTCCTTTCTCCTTCGAGATTGGGAGATGGCTACAGCGGTATCGGAAATTGTGTTGTAGATTTTTGTACATTGGATTCGAGGTTTTCACAGTAAAAAAGAAAAGAAACTGTTTCATAAGAATGCCTTGATTTGTTTTTCTGGATGTATTTATTAATTGTTCGAGTTTTTTTTTTGTTGTGACATAATTTATTTGATAAATTCATTACCAGCGAATTTCCTACTGTTGTTTTATTTAATTGTTGAATTATACTTCATATTAATAAAACATTAGTGTTTTATTTCTTGATTATTTAATTTTACTCCCATCCGTTTGTTCAGTGCTTCGAAGAAACGACGAAGGATTATTACGAACAAACTAACAACCACAACGTAGGGTTATCTTATTTTAAAAAGGGTCCAAAACTACTCCGATCACACGTCATAAGCAATTCTCCCGCTCAAATTTGAATTTTTCTTGAGCATTTTGAAATGCCGCCATTGAATCCAAACTGTAAGGTTAAATAAGAGTAAATTACATTAATTTAAATTTGAATTTGTGGTTTTATTTTGAATTTAGAACAAAAATTCTGCTTCTGCGCATTATTATTTCTTGACAGAAATTGTTTCCTAACCTCAAACCTCAAAGCATTAATTATTTTAAATAAAGTGTTTTAAACAAAGCAAGTTCTCAATAAATGTATTAAATATCTTTCTCTAAATTGTTAAAGTACATTTGATTGGAACTTTTCTGTTCTCACAAGTTTAATATTTCTAAAAGCAGTAAAAAAAAACATTAACAAACAGTTAAAAATGATTTATATTTTCCAAAAAAAAATGTATGTATGTAAAAATTCAGGTACYTATTGGTGATAAATCCGAATAAGACAAAAATGATGAAAAGGCATTGATTAGCGAACCCAACAAGTGTTTTTAAAGTGACAAATGGACGTAAATATTTATTTATGTTATCGGTGGCTTATTATGTGGCTATTATTCCTTAAGCCCTCAAAATGTCATCAGTTACATATTTGTCTGAAATGTGGTTTATCTACAATTAATAACGAGGTAGGTGTGTTGTTTGAAGTTTAAAAGCTCACAAACATATTTACAGAAATATAAAATTCGAGATTGAAAATAAAATTGAACAAAGATGAAAGAAAGAATGCAGTAGTTATGTGTTACATAGCCTCTTGATTGATTATCCAAGAACAATCGTATGAAAACATGGTGGGTGCATCTTTGAGTTATAACATTTGAAATTTATTTATGAGAAACAAATATATTTAAAATTAAAACAACCCAATGTTTTGAATTCTATGGAACAATTGTACGTATACAAAAAGCCGCCAATTTCTAAAAAGAATAGAAATAATACTTATATGTACCCAATAATAGAAGCATTATTATAAACTGCAAATATAACTCCAGAATTTGAATTTATATTGATTGATTATCCAAGAACAGTCGTATGAAAAGGTGGTGGTAATGCATCTTTGAGTTATAATATTTGAAATATTGTTAATTATTTTTGCAAAAACAACAGGAAAAACCAACATGAACGATTCTGGGTGACAAAAGGGGCCCCCAAACGCAGCTCATGAACCTAATAATTTATAGTTTGTTTATTGATACTTTTTTTATTTTTATTTTTTTATTAATAAAGTAATTGTAAATTACATTAAATGTTATTACCGTTTATTGGCTTTTTTATTAACAATTATAAAAAAATACTTAAAAAAAAGTTAGCAATAAAGTGAGGTTATGTTCTTCTTAGATTTGATAACACAAAGTTTTATTTTTTGATCACACACCTGTATTTTAATATGGATATATTTTCTCACATTT